ATACATGTATTTAGATATAATTTATTAGGACTGTTTTGACTGAGGTGATGGGGTAAGTGGCGAATTTGTGAAGTGTTAATTGCTGTTTAAACATCATGCCGTTACCCAGTTTGTCCGATATTTCTATAACGATAATAATTAAATCATTAAATTACCGTTGAGTATTGTGAACTGATTACATTGTGTATCCTTTGCAGTTATCTGCCAAATTATTTTTATGCAAACATTGTAAATTAAGTAATAGATGAAAGAGGTTCGTTCCTGAGCTTTTGAACAGATTTTTGTCTTGACCTTAATTTAAAAAAATCTGCGTAATGTTTTAGTTCTTATAATAAATTTGGATTCTACAATGCAAAATAAACTATATTCAATTAAAATCCTATGATTTAATTGAGCTATATATGTAGATTCTAAAAATGTACTTGATAAAATATTCTCAATACTTTTGATAGCAGGATCCAACCTCCTTAAACTTTGTTTCTGTTTATGGTGACAATGCAGAATGACCATATGTAGTGTTTGGGGGTCGTCAGAAAGTTATCAATGTCCTTGATGCATGTAACTCTTGGATGTTTTATGGTTTTCCTTTCGAAATTGAATTAAAATACTTAAAGTATACAGATCAAGCACAAACAGAGTATTACTAATGCTGTTTATCTTTTCTTTTGATTTACCTTTTAATTTATTGGAAGGGTTTATGAATAAAATTAATTTAAAAAAACAATGTCCGGAAATGTGTAATTTGTTACGATTAACCGGTTAATCGGTCGGAACGTCTTACAGTTAACCGATTGGCAATTTTGTATTCGATTGCCATCCCTAATATATATATAAACTGGCCAGTTTTTCCTAAACAAGGGCACCATAAACCGGAGCATCCTTTCGCAAAAGAGCACATTGATCCCGATGTAATAAAATACGGAGATAACGAACAGTGATCAAACTCAAAAGTCCATTGAAACAATACAAATCGGGAGCAGAGCAAACACGCACCTCTATAAGTATCAGAGGTGGGATCAGGTACCATGGAGGAGTAAGCATCCCCTGTCGACCGGTCACACCTGCTGTGTGCTATCATGATCGGGCAAAATTCATAGACAATTCAGTGTGTAAATAATGACCTAACAATTAGTATGAAGAACATCATTCACCATTCGACAGAATGATAAATTGTATTTGCAACTGACAAGGTCATCGTATTGACCATAGAACTTGCACGAAATGTTAACTTCAAACGAGGCTGTTGATATCCTTGTTTGGCAAAATTCATAGACAATTCAGTGTGTAAATAATGACCTAACAATTACATGTATTATGAAGAACATCATCCAGCATTCGACAGAATGATAGATTGTATTTGCAACTGACAAGGTCATCGTATTGACTATAGAACTCGCACAAAATATTAACTTCAAACGAGGCTGTTGATATCCTTGTTTCATCAACTTGTTTGTCAATTGCTTATCTCTTTTAGATACTCTTCATACGGAGAGCATTCTATTGCATATCGAATCATACGTAGCTGATAAGGGTATATTGCTACATAAATTAGGGAAGTTGACAATAGAAAAGTTGAAGTCATCACGTTATTCCTTCCCATTACTCACGCACTCACCCATAAACTCACAGGCGCGTTTCTATATCCTGTTCAACTTCGTTGCGAGGGATTAGTAACGTGATAGATGTGCTGATCTTTAGAGAATCTGCACAATTCTTACTATACATGGCCCTACTTATAAAATAGGTTTAAAATATCTTTGTTGGCATCAGTATATGGTAATTTTAGTATACTTTCTAACAAGTAATCACGGATAACCATACAAATCGCGGAAGGAAATAGATATGTGTATGAAGCATGTACTTAAAAGATTCAAGAAGTATATCTTTAAATATATGTTTGTTTCAGACTGTTTCCTCTAAAATAACAAAAATAGAACTCCTGAAAATATTTAAACATGTTACATCAAAAATGTTCGCTGAAGACATTCCAGCCACCAATGTCTTTGGTATAGTGAAAATATTACACTTTGTTTTATTTATACGTGTCTTTCCCTTCCCCAACTAAAACCCTCGATGTGAACTTGACGACTTACCCTAGAATTAATAACATGTATTAAATACTCAACTATAAAACATACATGTATGTCTACGTGACAAGTATATGATTTTGCACATCAATAACTCACATACTTGAATATTTTACTAGAAAAAGACGTTTATGGTAAACTAACAACTATAAGCTTTATGATAAACGTGATGACTTAAACTTTTCAATCGTCAACTTCCCTTACTTATGCAGCAATATACCATTATCACCTGCATACGGGGTTTATATCTCTGTTGATTCGATACACAGGAGCAATTTCTACGTATGAACAATTTCTAAAACGAGGTATAAAGTCACTGACAAACAAGTTGATGATACAAGAATATCAACAGTCTCGTACGTTTGAAGTCATCATTTCATAAGTTCGAAACAATGCCTTTGTCAGCATATACATCTTTCATTAATTCAAATGCTGACTGACGTTTCTAATGCTAATTGTTAGGTCATTATTTATACTGTGAATTGTCTATGGATTTTTCCGTTATTTCCCGATCATGACAAGGAGCACACGGTGGGTGTGACCGGTCGGCAGGTGATGCTCACTTCTCCATGACACTTGATCCCACCTCTGATGTTTTAGAGGTCCGTGTTTGCTAGATGCGCCGACAAATTTGTGTTGTTTAAATGGTCTTTTGAGCTTGATTACTGTTCGTTACATGTATCTCCATATATTTCATACTCTAAAACTTAAAAACATTCCTTAATTGCTTGGCACTATGGCTTTTGTGAATACATGGTTACCTTTTAACGTTAACTTGACCTTTGACAAACTTCTCGAAATAGTTTTGAATACCGATATACAGCACATTTTGGACATATGAGAGGTAAGTCTGCGATATTTAGCATGTAAATGGTTTGTCATTAGACATTAAGAAAAATACCAACGTTCAAGTCCACTTGACCTTTGACGTACTTTTCAGAAATACTCTAAATGGTTAGTTTTTCTTATTTTTCTAAATTTTGAGACGCAGGACTTCGAAAACTAGATCAGATGTTTATGAGTTCATCACACTGTACCTTAAGATTTATCATACAGGCCCGTAGCCACAGTTTAAAAAGTGGGGGCTAATCTCCAAACAAATTCTGACAAAAACAAACAAACCAAACAAACCAAAACCTAACATGCAATAGCTAGCCTATAATACTTCTATTCAAAGAAACAACTGATCACTCTTCGACTTATTTATACTTTTAAATAATGATGCTATAGCAGGCGATCCTTTGCACGCACTAGTTAGTAGCCAGGTAAATACTGTTCATCGAAATCATGTATCATTTAGCCAAATTGTGTTAAAGTGTTAAGCATTTGAATAAGAAAAATTAAAGAAGGAATGGTATTTTGAAAGAATTTACATTTTTACTGTTGATTGAAATAAAATATTGTGTTGGTCAATGTAATCTATTTCTGTTTCAACTTAAATTGAATTAGGACCGAACCTGTCGAATAACTAACCAATGCATAATCCCTGTTCTCTTTGTAAAAAAGTGATAAAAGTAAAATAAAATCAATTTTGAAATGACGTAATAGTTTTTATATTTAAAGCGAGAGCTTCGTATCATTCCAAACCTACGAAATCCGGAGAATAGGTGTTAACAATGTTAACATACATACTCCACAAAAAATTGTCGGAAAAATTATATAGATTTATCTGTTCAAGTTATTTGATATAGGTGAAGGTTCGTGTATTCACCAATAAAAATATTTTATATAATTAAACAAACTTACTTTTAATTCAAAATGTTGAATTCCCATTACGTTTTCTGTAACATTTTTAAAATAATTGTTCATATTTTTTTTACAGTTACATATTGAGTCAAAATCATATGTTTCTTTTAAGAAACATGTATCTGTATAATAAAGCGGAAGATTTATTTAAAAAATATGAGTATAGCGAAGTTTTAACAAACTCTAATGCACTGTAAAGCAGGAGAGACTGTAAAATATAAGTACCGGGAAAACGTTACTGTTCATGTCAAAGTCACGCAATTATAACTTGTAAACAACATGCAAAGTTGAGGAATATGTTCTGATAATTCCTTTTGAAGGTTGTATCAAAACCTCAGTCTACCGTTCAATACGGAGGAAGATGTGAAGCAATATTAATTTTCGTCTTGGAAAAAACAAATGTTTTTTCTTTCCATAAAAGTAGATTTTTTAAGGTTCTGAAATCTGTAATTTAATACTTTCAAGAATTAAAGAAAAATTGAATGCGTCTAACGAAAATTCTATTTTTGTCAGTTTTCCACTGCGGTGTCGCTTGATATGTCGGCTTTATATATATATATAGAGAGAGAGAGAGAGAGAATATTTGTTTATTGTTTAACGTCCCTCTCGAGAATTTTTCACTCATATGGAGACGCCACCACTTGCCGGTAGTACAGCAAATTTTTGACTTATACTCGGCACTCTGGGCCATTGAGCAGTGGGGGATCTTTTTCGTGCCAGAGAGAATAAAACAGGTACACTTCAATATTATATACATAATTATTGAACATCCCAGAGGTTTGACACTTATACAGTTAGCCGTCATCCTTTCATCAATCAGATGTAGAATTCAGATCGTCAAAGCAATCACTGGCTTAAAGGAGAACAAGTGGAAATGGTCAGGGTACTGTCATATATTAACAAAAGCGATCCAAGATTGATATAATTGAATCGACATTGTATTACATTCAATTTATTTCCTCTGACGGTGATACACAAGACATCTCTCTGCCCAAAGAACAAACTGACCCAGTCGCCTCAACTTAATCAAATAATTATGTGCATTGATCCCTTGTTTAAATACTTTTTTGTTCTATTGAAACAAATAATTGAGTCGTCCAATTTTTTTTTACATTCTTTGAGGGAATAGTAGCCCTGGAACCAATTACATGACTTCTAGGTGTAATTGGCGTAGGGGAAAGCCGCAGCCCACAGAAAACAAACACTACTGAATGGCTAGGTCGGAGGAGGCAATCGATAGATTGATTTCACAAGCTTCAACCTGGAATCTACAAACCAGTTGGATCACTTGCCAACTTTCCGCGTATTTGTTAAAGCCAGTGTAAGTAGTGAAATTGGAAAAAAAAAACTACTGTTTGAAGGTATATATTTTTAGACCATCCAAAACCGGATTTAAGAAAGACGTTCAGTAGAACTTATCACAAAAGAAATAGAGCCATCGATGAACTGATAATCATCTGGTTGATGTTTGCAGGTTTTCTGATCTAAATGTGATCTCCATGAAGAAATGTAGATGTTTTCTGATTACTACCAACAGTGTTTGATACACGTAGTAGCAGGCATTTCTTCATCTGTTTCATTTGTCCGCGCAATGGTTCAATTTTCCGGGAAAATGCTCATTGGATGGCTCATTTAACTTCATTTTAAATGGATTTATAACTAATCGTGAAAATGGGGTGTCGACAAACAAAAGTTAAAAAAGATGTGGAAACTAAAGAGAATTTTGACAAATTGGAGGATAAAAGCTCCGTCCCACAGGTAGATCCACGGCTTCCAATCGACGCCAGAGAAGCCTTTAAACTCAAACAATCTTGGAAAGGCATTAAGCGCAAGATCGAGGAAACAGGTGTCGAGATGTTTATTAGGTACGTCTTAAAATACTTCAGGTTAGAAAATAGTCTGATCTGTTTTAGAGTCTATCAGACAATACATAGTTCGTGCTTAATATTGGTTCAATATTGTGGAAGAAGATAGGCGAACAAGGCGAGAAAAATGCCTATTGTATTATGACAAAAATGAAAGTGAAAAATTTAATATTAATTTTGACATAATTTTCTTTAATATTTCTTAAACAACAACGCATACTTGTATTAAATGTCCACAAGTTGCAACAGTGTCACAAAGATTTAAGATATTCGTCTATGAAATAGCATATACAAACCAAAGAGGGCAAAAATGATTTCTTCATACTATGACACAATTATTCTGTATGGGTGGGCTTGCTTAATTTTTTGGAAAGAATATACTCAAAGTATGCTTAAAACTATATAATTTTCGGTTCACAAACACAAACCTACGTAGAACAGACCCACCATACTAGTACCTTTAGAATACACTCATATGACACAATATTCGTATCTTTCCGAAAAATATTTGAAGTTCTTTTAGTCAAGGGTAACACAAACATAATTTTAATTGCCGCGACTTGTCCTGAGCTGTATAGTTAAGTTACGTATGTTAGTCTTTAAGAAAAAAAACTGATACTCAAAATTTTTATTGCTTAAATTCAACCCAACAAGCACATTTTTTAAAATCACAGAATGATTTTTGTGTCTGAAGTGTCTAAATAATTTCCACAGAAAAGTTTTGTTTGTCATAATTTCATACCTAACCTTTCAATAATGAGAACTTCACTCTACTAAATTCGAAAACTGAATATGACTTAATTTATACATTTGAAGCTAAAGGCATATGGTATGCTCGCCAAAATCCTTTAGAAGTGTTCGTCAAATTTTTAAACCCTTAGTATGAGTAAATAAAATTGATATCTGAATTTCATTGAAGTAAGAAATAACTGTACGCTGTGGAACGGAAACTTCATTGAACATATCCTTTTCCGAGCATGAATGTTAGGAAAAAATGTGTTGTTGGATTTTTTTCTACTGTTTACAAGACATACTGATACTTACACATTAAATAATATTCCCTTTGATTTTCACAAATATGAGTTGTATTTAAGCAGTTTAGCACGATGTTAATTTGGTGGAGATTGTAAAGAAGTGATATTTCCTGTAATTAAGACAAATCAGTGCCAGTATAGCCGATGTTCGTGAAGCAAGATTTATAATTACACATGTACATCAAGTAATTACTATTTTGCACGTATTACAATGTACATAATGCCGTAAGTACATTAAAGTACTAAATTAAACATCGTGTTGTTCCTCGGGCGAGTATTGGAAAGCTTAGATAATGTTAAGAATAATAAAAATTCATCTGCGACAAGTTTATGTACACATATCGCATAATGACTCTGAGCAATCAATAACAAAATCTCTGTTAAAAATTGATCGCATGATCAGCGAACCAAATGTTCAGAAGAAAGATCGTTTTATGAATTGGGATTGTCATTGATCTATATCTTTTCACTTTTTGTGATCATTAAATATTCATTTTTTCACGAATAATTTTTCCAGTCCTTGTAAATCCGATACACTGTTTTTTCAAGCTTAAATTGAAAGCATCGTTTTTATGTGTGCGGTAATATTACATTGGAATCTATCTATTCTGTGTTATGTGGAAAATGGTTGGGAGGAAAAAATGAGTGATAGGAATCCCCCATGAATCTTTACGCATATACTGACAATGATAAAAAGTATTCCATTCGATGAGGATAGCTAACATCTCATCCAATGCTGTTTTTTAAACAATAAATTGTTTTTTTTTGTACGATACGGATATGAACCTTAATATATTCAAAATATGTTTTAGTGTCGGTACTATATCCCAAACCTACAATTATATATCTGTCCAATAGACATAAACGATTACTTTATTTTCTTGTTTAAAATTTTACTTACAAGTAATTATATATTTTGAATGTATCAAATGTGTTTTTCTTCAGGCTATCAATGTACAGTTTATTTCTATTGTGAAACCAAATTTACTGCTCGATTGGGGGGGGGGGGTCCTGAATGAAGACCTATAAACGTTTAAAATTCTCAGATTTTCCCCAATTAAGGTGGTATGAGATACCTGACAAAACTTCTCGTACATATTTATTTACTTAAATTAGGAGGATAGAAATATGATATCCCTATCTTTCAGTATGGTAAATTGTAATTTTAACAATTTTTATGCCCCCGCATCGAAGATTCGGGGGTATATAGTTTTTGCCCTGTCCGTCTGTCTGTTTGTCCGTGAATACTTTAACATTGCTCATAACTTTTGATTGGTTGGAGCTATGGCTGTCATATTTCACATGTGTATTCCTTGTGACAAGACCTTTCTTTGGGTACAATCATATTTGACCTTTTGACCTTGACCTTGGAGTTTGACCCAGTTTTAAAAAATTTTGCCAAACTTTAACCTTGGCCATAACTTGTGAACAGTTGGTGCTAGGGCTTTCATACGACACATGTGCAATTCTTGTGACAAGACCTTCCTTTGGATACCAAAAACTTTGACCCTTTGACCTTGACCTAGGAGTTTGACCTACATTTGAAAAACTTTAACCTTGGCCATAACTTTTGAACAGTTGGTGCTAGGGCTTTCATACTTTACATATGTAATCCTTGTGACCAGATCTTACTTTGGATACCACCAACTTTGACCTTTTGACCTTGGAGTTTGACCTACTTTTGATAAACTTTAAACTTGGTCCTATCTTTTGAACGTTTGGTGCTAGGGCTTTCATATTTCACATGTGTATTTCTTGTGAGAAGGTCTTTCTTTGGGTACCATTAATTTTGACCTTGACCTTGATGTTTGACTTACCTTTGAATTTTTATAACCTTTGCCACATCTTTTTAATGGTTGCTGCTAGGTCTTTCATATTTCACAGGTATATTCTTCGGGACAAGAACTTACTTTGGGTACCAACATATTTGATTTGCATTTGAGAAAGTTTAACCTTAGCTTTAAGTTGCCATACTGGGGCATCAGTGTTTCACAAACACATCATGTTTTGCTTAATTCTTATACGAGTGCCGATATAATTGGTGTAGGGGTTGACATTTTTAGCTCACCTGAGCTGATAGCTTTAGTGAGCTCTAGTGAGCTTTTCTGATCACATTTTTGTGTCGTCCGTCTGTCTGCCGGTAAACTTTTCACATTTTCAGCTTCTTCTCAGGAACTTCAGGCCAATTTCAATTTCAACCAAACTTGCCAGAAAGCAAACGTGGATAAAGGGAGTCAAGTTTGTTCAAACTAATGGTCATGCCCTCTTTCAAGGAAGTATAGTTAAGAATTAGTAAAAATTTAGTGACATCTTTAACTTATGTGAAAGCTTTATTATAAAGTGTAGATTCATTTTTATTCAGATCATGTCTGGGGAAGGGTTGGGCTACAATAGGTGATCAAAGTTTAAATAGAATATTTAAGAATAACTCTTTCAAAATTTCTTCTCAAGAACTTCTGGATCAGAAGAAATGATACTTATGTGAAAGACTATAGTGTAGTTTTAATTTTGTAGATTCTGGCACAAAAAAGATCCCACACCACTTCTCAATGGCCCTGAGTTCCGAGAATAGGTCTAAATTTTTGGCCCTCCGCCGGCAAGTGGTGATGTCTCCTTATGATTGAAAAATTTTCTAGAGGGATATTAAAACAAACAAACAAACAAAAACAAATTCAATTTCGTTCAAATCATGACCCCCATGGGTAGGGTGGGGCCACAATTGGTGATAAAAGTTTTTCGTTGGAATATACGGTATACAGAAACTCTTTAAAAATCTGCTCAATAACCAAAGGCGGATCTAGCACCGGCGCATACTAGCTAGGATGCAGGTTCCTAAGAGAAAATAAATTTAAAAAAAAAAAAAAAAAAATCGCAGAATATTTAGCAAGTTCGTGTGACCTGCTTTAAGACGACCCCTAGATTTCAAAATTATCTGCAATATGCTTTGTTTTCTTTTAAATTAAACACATATTTGATCATTTCTGTTGAATTTTATTTACTTACATGTTAAGAAAAATGACACCGGACCAGATAAACTTAACATGTACTGACAACGGACTTTTTGCTTATAAATTGCGATTTCTTAAAACATGTTAGCTACAAAAGGCTGTCACTTGCCTAATACATTTAAAATGAAGTTTCTCTTCATATTTTAAAATAAAAGGACCATTTCGATGAATTAAATATAAGAAATATATAATTTTCCAGCTCACGATCATGCCTTCACACATGGGCATGAGATCGCCAACCAAAACTCCTCAAAATGTGTTAAGGATATCAAATACATAAATCTTTGTATGGAATACTGAATGTTGTATCTGTTTCCCAAAATTCAAATTTATTCTTAGAATTTGTCAAAAACGTTAAATTTTATGCATTATGTATAAATTCTTGTATCTTTTGCATGACACCGGACGGATTTTATCATAACCTCACCTGTATGTTCATGACAACGAACCAGTTTCAGTGCTTTACTTTAAAGGTTTCTGACAACGGTACTGTCTAGGAACTTAACGTGTTCCTGGCCGTGCCGACTGATCTACAGTGACGGTTTCATATTCGGGTTTTATTTTTTACAGAAAATAGACGTTAATGACAATCGAGGTCACTTCAACTTTGTCAACTTCCCATTTTATGTATTTATTCCATTATTATATGCATGACATGTTCTGTCTATCTCAAATTTATGCAAATTCTGTGGTTTTTGTTGGCTTTATTGTTTAACGTCTCTCTCGAGAATTTTTCACTCACATGAAGACGACACCACTTGCTGGTGGAGAGCTGCAAATTTTGACCTATACTCGGCACTCCGGGCCATTGAGCAGTGAGGGATCTTTTTTCGTGCCATCCGAAGGACCGGTCTCCACGTCCCACAGTGGGATTCGAACCTGCGACGTAAGGATCAACTCCTTACACCGCGACTCTAGAGCGAACGCTCTAACCACTGCGCCACGCGGGCGACTAAAT